TATATATATATATATATATATATATATATATATATATATATATAACGAAAAATATACCGATAATTACGATAAAGTATCGTTGGTACGACAACCGCTCGTTACGAACTTGCCAATCGAAAATTGCTCGTCGATTTCCAAAATGGTCTCGTGATTGATTTAGGCCGTGGGCCAAAGTGCGTTTACACGCAAGCCAAATTTTTCCAACGTCCAGTCGTCGCACCGTCGAATACCTGACTACCTGACTGAGCCGTAGCGAGCCTGTTCCCTTTAAGAAATCAGGATCAAATCTAAAAGTTAGAGGCTACAGGTGGGGAGGAGGGAGAGAGGGGGGAGTTTGGTAGAGGGAAGGGTTCGTGAATCGGTAAGCCGTCTGACATGCATTTATTTCAAGTGTGAGTATATTCGAGAGAAGGGGATCTTTGTCTCATTGGCTTCGAAGATGCTCGATTTGATTGTATTTGTAGCTAACGCACGCTCATAGTGATCGCTGAACGTAAAACATACGTATATAAAAATATTAGTACAGGTTTGAGTTTATCAGAATTTCTTCCTAGTGCCTCGGTTGAAGTTCACTGTGAATTTAAATTCAAGGTTGAATACAAACTTAATGCCGAATCTCAGTTTCAGTCTAAATCTTACGATACGGAGAAATTCGAAATTTAAATATGTACGTATACTAAAGACGAAAGCAACGTCAGTTCCAGGACTAGACAATATAAAACAGACTAAAATGATAAAAGCAAATTGTTTCTACCGGATCTTCTACTTTCAACGAATTGTATCAACCTCAAACCATACTGGAAGTATGGAAAAAGATGCAAATCTTTGTAATACCGAAGCAAAATACCAACAACCTATGACCAACAACAATTTTCTCCTGTACGTGCAAGATACTCTCCAATTTTTTAATAAAGTTTATGAATCGTATGTTTAATCTATTCTAATTCCACATCATTTTGGTTTTTTATTAAAATTTATAAATGACAATAATAACTCTGTTCTTGGAAAATGCCATACAACAGTAATACCATAAGCAATCTCTCTTTTGTAGTGAGCTAGAATTGAAAAACTAATTTCTATTCTACGATAACAAACACAATATTAAATACATAAATACATCAATAAAAAAAATTTAATTTACGGTAAAATTCTCATGTTACACAGATATAATAATGAAACAAATTTTTTAAATATTTTATTAATAATACTTTTAATATACATTACAATATATTATTTTTTTTGGCCACATTGAAAATAATATTATACACTGCCATTAATTGAAATTTTCACATTTTAGTCATACACAATAGAAGGACTAGACTTTGATTATAGGACTTTATGGCAGATGTTCTGAAATACCGATATGGCAAAAAATCAATGACTTCTTTAGCGCACTCTAGGCTGAGGACGGTGAAGTTGATCAAGTAGTGAATGCCGCAAGTGATATCATTGACTAACATTGACTTCGTCTGTGCTAACAGGACATTCAATGATTTTGTCCCACGTTTGGGAAGTCACCTAACCACCCTACCATTTACGGTATTTTTGGAGAGAAACGGAAGTTTCAACAATAAATGAAAGTAAATTTACCCAATTATCAATCAAACAGACAAATATTTTAATTGTCAATCAGAAATCGCTAGACTACTGATTGATTTCATCAATCAAATAAATCAATGTAACTGTAAAGATTTGCCAGAGTGCGAATGTCTTCTACAAATTCATATTTTTCTAAAATAGAATTGGAGAAATAGAATTTAAGAAGAAATTTATTTCAGTTATCTTACAACGAGCAACCTGTTTTGGATATTTCATAGAATTTTCTATATTCAGTGCATACTACTATTGTTGATGTCAAAAATATTTGTGAAATAAATTTAATAA